AGTGCTCTCGGCAGCAAGGTGAGGTTGAGCTTAAATCCTGTTTTCTGCATGCAGTAGCAGCCACACAGCACACCTTCTGTGTAGAAGACTTCCACAGATTTTACCTCTATTCTGATGTAATTCTGCTGATCCGTGCTGTGGAAAACTCAAGTGTGACCCAGTGTATGAGTTGGTTCTGTTTCACCTATGGTCCTGGAAACAGAATGAGGCAGAAGTATTCTTTGCTGAGAATACAACATTCACACAGGTCAGCTTCAGCAGCAGCAGATCTTAAAATACAGGAGTATTTTCTGTGAGGGGTGGTTCAGCAAAGTTTGCCCTTTTTGTTTACACTGTTTTGTGACTCTTGGTTCTTTCTTTCCAGTGGAGTTAAAAGCAGACTGTAACAAGGGGTATGTCACTGTTAAGCAGGTATGTTTTCACACAGGTGTGCAATATTTCTGCTGCTTACTAGGACGGTGGTTGTGCTTAAACTCCAAAAACATTGCAAGTGATCCCTGAGTCTGAAGGGCCTGAAGCTGTTTTGTGACCAAGGAGAGCACAGTGAGTGGTCCTTGGAAGGGACCTGTCTTTCTATTTTTGTGAATCTCAAACACCTGGAAAGACTGCACTGTTCTTCCAGATGTGCTCCAGCTTCAGCCAGCTAGACTTGCAGCATCTGGGGCCGCTGCTGTAACTCCACAACCTGCTCTTCCAGGTCTGACCCTTGGGAGATGTAGGAGTTCTTCCCCTAAACTTGCTGATGTGCCTCCTGAGCCTTAGACTTCTAGAGGCAGCCCTTCATTTAAGGTCAAATTGGTTCCTGTAGTAATGGGACAGGGCAGTTGTGGAAGGCTGCTTTTTTTGATGTCTGATAGAGCCAAAGTTGTGGTCAACCCTGGGAAGGGATGGGATGTGAGACAGCACTGAAGGCATTCTCAGAGTATTAACTGGATGGAACCTGCTGTCTCATACCTGTGAGGACCAGTATGGGTGAGATAGTGTGCCCCAGTTATGCCTGAGGCAGGGGAAAATGTGCTGCATTTCAGTTCTCAGCTAAACTTCAGGTAGCTCCTCTTTAAAACACTGTTCTGAGAGAAAAACTATTTTAGAGTTGCATGGAGCTATAAACTGATGCTGTGAGACAAGCAAGTAAAAATTCAATCTTGCTGTCCTCATTTATTGCTAGAACAGAATAATAGTTGATTTTATGAACGGGTAAGATGCAAATGAAAATAAAAGCATTAAAATTCAGATAGGCTAGCATGTACTTTGCACAGGCTAAGCTGGGCAGAGAAGTTTAGTCTGTTGTGAAGGAACAGGCAACTTCTCTGTGTGATCATGGTCTTCTGTGAGCTGGAGAAGGCTTACCACATTAAGCTTGGGAAAGGAAAAGGGAGGCAGGAGCAAGGAGCAGATCACTATGTATTGGGCTCTTCTGGGTGCTAAGAGAGACTTTTTTCCTGATTTTTCTTCCCCCACCCCCCTACCCCGTACGGAGAGACTATGTTGCGAGTGTTAGCAGTGGGTTGCATGGCAAGCCAGTGCTTGTGAGCCTGAACTCCTTTCTCTCCTGAAATTAGCCAGAAGTGTGCTTGTGTATTTGAAGGAAAATGTGTTGATGGGACAGCATTTGTTAGAAACAGAAGACAAAATGTAGTGGAAAGGAGAAGAAAGATAAAGTAATTTGAAAACAGGAAACTTTCTGGGGATGATTGGACTGAAATAATTGGTTAAAACTACTGTTACTCACGAGAAATAATTGTTAGTAAGGCTATTATTATTTTGGGAGTTGATTAATGGGTGATTAATTTTTCAGAGCAGAGCAGGGCACAGGTCTTGCCGTACATCTGTAGCCAGCAGCTACAGAGCTGCGGGGTGGGTCCCTGTGCCCCTGAGGGGTGTGTGGTGACAGCTCTGAGCCACAGAGAGATGTCTCCAGCACTGGACTTCCCTTGTCCTCTGGAGGAGGTCCGTGTGAGGAGGGCACTTAGTGAAATACATTAGCTTTTTGGGACAGTGATATTCCAGGACAATGGAGCGGTAGCTGACAAGTCTGCTTACAACATAATTTGCAATTTTTCCCTTTTTCTCCCTACCCAAGATAGGAGTGAACCCAACTAGTGTTGATCTCGTGAATATTGGCAAGGATGAAGAGGTGAAAATGAAGCCAGGCCAAGTTCTGTATATTGTGAATAAACTTTACCCCTACACGGTGCAATTTGCTGAAGAGTCAGGGAAAACAGATACAAGAGTGGAAGGGAAAATACAAACCAAGAAGATGCCACGTGAGGACTCCTTTGAGAATGATGATGTAGAGCCTGTGCCCAGAAAAACAATGAAGGTGGAGGTGGTGGATACAAAAGGCAGCTCTGCAAACCCCAAGCTAAGCCACACCAGTGTGTCTCCACAAGAAGGAGCTTCAAGCAAAAAGGCAAGTGTATTTGTGTTAGTACTTGTCCTGTTTCCCCTGGGGCTGTCTCCTCCATCTGGGCTTTGTTCTTTTACGGTTGTGGGCACAGAGAATGGAACGACTTAGCCCTTTTTTTTCCTCGCCTCTCCTGCTTTGGTCATTCTTCATGGTAGAACCATGTTTACAGTAATAAAGGTTACCAGCCAAAATCTTTTGACAGTGATTTTTAGCCTAGCTGAGAGGGACAAAATGACAAACTGCTTAGTGCATCTGGAGCTACAACAGCATGGTAGCTGGAGGAGAAAGCACAGAAATGAAACCTCTCAGGACAAAATTTCAGTCCCAAGTTGTAGGGGGTTGGCCGCTTCATTTGTTAGGCACAGATTTGTGGTGGTATGAGGAGGAAGACAAGATTCACACTGCTTCTCTATCAGCACAATAATAATGTTTGAATGTTTTCATCTGTAGGAATATGATGAAGGTCATCACTGATGATGCCTGTAAAGAGGCTGGAACAGAAAAAAACATTACCTGTTTTGAAAAAAGTGCACTTGAGACACCTTCCATCAGGTGTTGGTCACCAAGAGATACCTTCTAGTGTTGGCTAGATCTTCCTGTGCCCTTCTTTTTCTCTGTGCATCACACTCCTCACACAACATGAAAATTAAATACATGTAAGAGTAGGGACACACACTCAACCATTTCTTTGTTCTGCACAGAGAGCTTGTGACAGGGCAGCTGTTGGAGATCCTCGGGCTTCCTTTGGCCCTTGTGCTCCATGAAGCAGGGAGTCTTACAGTAAAATAATCTGTCACCGATAGTAACCGGTGTACCAGCTATTCAGTATTGCTCCTGTTGTTGAATTTCCAACATTTGAAAGACAGTATGTTGTTAAAAGTTTTCAAAAGTAGCTGTGTGGGTGCAGCTGGAGCAGATGCGTTGGTATTTATAGAAAGAAAATAATTAAGCTGTCATTCAACTGTTATTTTACTGTTGTATACTAATGAAGATACTTAGCTGAATACTTTACAACATATAATTGGTTTCCTAATTCCCTTATAATTTTTTTTCCTTCTGTGTTTTAGGAACATTCTGGACACTGGAGTCAGGGTCTAAAGAGCTCCATGCAAGATCCAAAAATGCAGGTGAGAGCTTTACACTTGTACTTGACAGTAGTTCCTGTCTAACAAAGTAAAATGGGCCTTGTTTCTCCCTCCTGCAGTTTACTTCAATGATCTGATTAACCAGTGGAGCAGTGCACAAGGGCCGAATTGTGCTTTCATCTCTTTCTGTAGTAGTGTTAAGTAGGGAGTCTGTACTGGGCTGATTTTGCAGAATGTCATTATCTTAATTATCTTTGAGCTCTCTACACTGTCGAATTTGGCCAGCAGATTTCAAAGCCGTTGTCCGGAGAACAGGCCGGCAGAGCAGTTCCTTTGTTTCCTCGGGGAAGTCAATTAAAATGTGGGTGTGGCTCGAAGCGGAGCAAGTAGCGGGGGTTCCTGTTTGCTGGCCGTCCCTGCCGCCTCACAGCCGCCTTCGGTGCAGGCTTCTGGTTTTCAGGAAACCCCTAACTGCAGCCCCTCTGTGCCAGCTGACAGGACGTGACCTCCTCCACGCGGTTTCTTTGCGCCGGCAGGAATTTCCTGGGCGGTTCCTTTTGGCCTGCCCATGCTCCAGATGCATCTCCTTCCCTCTGCTTCACTCTGGCTGAATTATGGTTTTCCTGGGGCTCATTTTTTTGTTGTCTGCTGCCTGCTTTTGGCGAGGTCAGACTCAAGACACAGAAATCTGACAAATGCCTTTGTGGCTGCAGTATCTCCATGTTTTGTTTTTACTGTGTTCTGAGAGGACCTTCTTTATCCAAATATAGAACCTACTTTCATTTTGGTTTTAAGCTATGGCCAATATATGGAAAAATCCTTCTCAAAAGCAAGCTTTCTACCTCAATTCTAAAATAGGGAGAATGCTCTCCATCAAGAGTCCACTATCTGGCAGAGTAATGCTTGAAGCTTGGGTCCATTTTGCCTGGGCTTTGGCCAGTGCTGTGTGGCCATCTTAACATTAGAGTCGTGTTTTTCCCTTCATCCTTCTCAGTGAGAGTACGTGTTCATAATCGTGGAGAAGGATGGGTATCAAAGACACCTGCAATACTTGGTTCTTGAAATCACTGACTAATTTCAGTTGGAAAAGACCTTTGGAGGTCACCTGGCCCGACCACTTGCACTCGGTATAACTACCTCAGCCATTTGAGTTGAGATGATTTCCAAGGGTGAAGATCCCACAGCCTCACAGGGACTCTTCAGGTGACGATCACCCTCAGGCTGGAAATAATGTCCTTGATAACTAACCAGAAGGTCCCTATTCCTTGGTAGAATTTTTTTTACCGTTTTAAATTCAGGTCTAAAGTGTAGAACTGCATAGAGCTGTAGGAGAACTGGGTTCCCATTCTCCTGCCAATGCCAGCAGGTTCAAATGAGTCTGATAAAGCTCTTTAAATACTTGCCTACTGAAACGATTCTGTGATTCTTTTTAAACATGAAGTTTAATCTTCATCCCTTAAGGAGACTTTTGTACAGCATTTCCCAAGTGATAAGCTTGCGCAAAGCACTTACCCAAAATTAAAACTGTCCTTTGAATGTTTGAACACAAATAACTGTGTCTTAGTCATAGCTGTATTAGTTGTGCTTCTGAACTAAATACACAAACAATAGAACTCCTCTGTTTGCTTGTTTAATTTTGGGAATAATTAGCAACGATGACAAAGGCATCATCCGTCTCTCATCAGTAGATATGCTGCTAAGAGATTGAAGACAGCAGATTCTACTTCAGAACGTGACAGTTATTTATTGCTGGGGCAGGTTTTCCACATTTTGCTACTGTTTCTCTTCATCAGCTGCATCAAATTGTTGCAGAGGGCAAAACAAAATGAACATGGGGGAAGAAGGGCAGGATAGACAGGAATCTGTTCTCTTTGTGAGTGATCGTGAGGAGCAGCAGTAGCAACACAGACTTCTGCAACCACAATGGAACATGCAGCTGGGTAACATCTCAAAATCCATTCAGTGTGGTGCTTACAGGAGTAAGATATTTAACTTTCAATTAGTAAATAATCTAGTTATTTGTTTTTCAAGGTTTACAAAGATGAGAAAACGGTAGTCATTAAGGATAAATATCCAAAAGCACGTTACCACTGGCTTATCTTACCATGGGACCCCATTTCAAGCCTGAAGTCAGTGACCAGGGACCACCTTGAACTCCTGGAACATATGGATGCAGTCGGGCAAAAAATGGTTGAGCAGTGCCCAGCCAGAGAGAGTCTGGAGTTCCGACTGGGTTACCACGCTGTCCCCAGCATGAGGTAAGACCTACATGAGTCGTTGAGTGGAGGCCCTGTTCTTCTGGCTGTACAGATTTGGGGCTAAATCTGTAAGGTGATCTGGCATTGCTGAAGGACAGCTGCTCCTCCTGGGCGCTACAAAGAGTGTGGTGCCCCCAGTGCTCTGGCTGCAGCTTTGCACACCCTGCTGGGCAGATGCTGATGGGGTGGGAAGGTCCTGTCACGCTCTGTCACGCTCCCTGAGCTGGGGCTGTGGTATGCCAGTATCCAGTCCCATCTGCTTCAGGGACTGACTCTAAAGCCTGTCAGGTTCTGTCTGGTACTGTGCAAGGATCTGAGTCTTGTGGGTAAATAAATCCAGATCTTACAGTGTCCCAGTGCCTAGGGGTATTGCAGTCACTGCTCCCATGTTGTGGATAAAGCTTTCTGATCCTGTCCCTCTCAGGTACTCTGCAAAGTTTAAATCTTTTGTTTACTAAACCCACTGTCTCTGCCTTTTTGGAAGCTAGCAGCAAAGTAGAGTGCAGTTAGGGGCCAGTGGAATATGCAGACTACGGATCTTCACTGTTTGAGTGGAACACTGGCTGTGAGACAGTGGTTCTAGAACTGACTGGGTTTCTTCTGTAGCAGGACTAGGGGTCAAACATGGCAAGAGTGACCCGTAAATCTGGCAGTCTGACTCTGCTGAGTCATGTTTGCAGCTGATGCTACTGAAAAAGCACTTGGAGCATTAACTGTATTCTTCTTTCTTATCTACATACTTGTTTCAGTCAGCTACATTTGCATGTAATCAGCCAGGATTTTGATTCTCCAGCCCTGAAAACAAAAAAACACTGGAACTCTTTTACTACAGACTACTTCTTAAACTCTGAAGGTAATGACTGAAAAAGGTATTTCATAGCACATAATCCTGCTTGTGGGTTTTGGCTTGGGGCTTTTTTTTTTTTTTCCCCAAACGAATGTGTAAGCCATAAATTCTATTGTAGTAACTGAGGTTTTATGTAATTTCAGATATTGGGAAATAGCCCTAAGCAGAAGTCAATGAAATTCTGTGCCTGGTTTAAGTTGTGGTGCCGGGATGGCACGCTGTGCATGCGAAGCATTGCGCAGAGATTCTGCAGTGTCATGTGTTCTGTGGTGCCACACGATCCCAATACCTCTGGTCTCTTTTTTTTTTCAGATGTGATAGAGATGGTAAGAAGCAAGGGAAAAGTCATCGTGAAAGATAATGTCTCTGAACTTCTCAAATTGCCCCTCAGATGCCATCGCTGCAAACAACAGCTGTCCACTATCCCACAGTTAAAGGAACATCTCAGGAAACACTAGCCAAAATGACTTCGGAAGACGTAATCTTACAACCTGCTGGATTTCAGGCTAAAATAAAGGCATCAAAGTGTTAGTAAATGTGTGTGTTTAAGTCAGAAGCTGAGGCATTGAGCCCAGGTTTAGGTTTCTGCTGAGAAAATAAAGAAGGAATGATTTAGACGTCTTTCTCTTGATGGCTTCTGCTTGTCACTGAAGTGTCTCTTAAGCAGTACTGTTGGAGAGGCTGGTATGGCTGACAGCAAACCTGTGACAAGAATGTACTGAGAGTGTATGGGAAGGAGCATCAGCTACAGTGTCCCCACTTTGCTGTGCCACAGCATGGCTTGAAGATTTCACTGCTGCTGAACTTTTCCTCAGCTATGGAATTGCTCCTCAGCAGCATGCCAGGGTAACTGGTGCTCAGGCTCTAAGAGGGGCAGCCTATCTCTTTGATGTACAAGGCTGTATTTCGTCATTTGTATGTAAAAATACATGTATAAGATGCAATAACCAGCACTGCAGCTCCCTAGAGTAATAAAACTGTGAGTGGTTGCAGTTGCTTGGCTGCAAGCAAATGTTGAGGTTGGTGCAGAAACTGTGTGGGTCAATGCTGCCCTGCTTCTTCATGTTGGGATTTTGGCGAGCTTCCATTAGTTGATTTTTTGTCAACTCCCAGACAGGCAGCAAAGCAGCAGTAGTAAAAATCTTGTTTCTAGGTCCCAAACTGCTGTGCAGGGTTCAATGTCCTCAGTCCAGCCTTGACTTGCTGAGCAAGCTGCCCTCTGAGTGAAATGGCTTTCAGCAGG